CCAAGATAGAATTTCTCCTCACAATATCCATACAATATCAAGCAGACAAGTGATGAGAATAAAGTAAAATATCAGTTAAGTGATTATAAGTTGATCCAATACCAAATTCTTCAAACTAACATCACAAGAACTGTATGTCAGACAGTAAGGAGAATTACTAATGAGATCTTGGGAGTTAAAGTGTTAAGTCGTGCATGTGATTGGTTTTATAGATGGCGTAAGTCTCCAAGTTTAATTGCGGCGCGAATTAAAGCAAAACAGAAGTCAATCCCGGGTTTCTTTCTATGCCTAATTGAAAACAGCTTAATTCCTGCCGCCCCCTAAAGGAACAGCGTGCAGTTAGCTCTTTTAACACCAACTGGACATTTTCAAGTTTATTTAAAACGTTGGCTAGAGGAACCGATACATTTAGTAAGGAGATGTAGAAACATAAGCAAAATGTATTGCCGGCATTTTGTTGTCTTGTTCTTTGTACCAGTTCAGCAGTGTGTTTTCTTATTCTTTAATTCATAGGATGGGATGACTTACATCGGAAGAGAGGATGCAAATTTTAATCCTGATATAGGTTGGTCTGGATTTTAATCAGTCAACTTGCGTAGCTGGCGGTTTTCGGAAGCCAGGGGAGCAGTGAATTCGGTAACGGACATTTTCTCCTTCCCAGTCCTCTTGCGGGATGGGAAGACCTTCGCCGCTTAAAATTTTCCTTGATGCAGTTCGTTACGCAAGAAACTTGTAAGCGTGTGAATGAAAAGAGAAAATCGCCAGAGCTAGAGTTTGTTTTCATCCTGAAAGCTCGTTCTTTATGCATAGTCCACAAAGTGTATGAAAGCACATCTGAGAGGTGATCCCAACTGTTTGACCTAACATCAACAACTAACCGTTGAATGGAAATTGTGTAACACAAGATTGGAGAATTTTCTTTTCTATTACATTCAGAGATCGTTGATAGTCTTTCAATGATCATATCAACTTAATTCGCTGTTCTCGAACAACTGTCCACACTTTAGTCTTAACAGTTTTTTTGCCTTGTTTTTGAGAATTCAATACTTGATGATATTTAGGAGAACACGTTTTGAAAATCTAGCAACGTTAACAATAAATATTCTGACAATATTGATATTAAAACTTTCGTTCTTGTGCTCATCAGTGTTATCAGGACCTGGTGTTGAAGCTGAACATTGTATCATGGAGAGTATTGAAGGAACAGTTATACTTCATCCTATCGCCTCCCTGTGCCAAGTGAATGGGCTTCCTGTGGGCAAGTCACAGCGGATCAGTCAGGGTAGGTGTACTCTGCACCTCCTCGACTTGTATTAACTCTTCACACCCTAACATCAGTTTGTATTTTCTCATTACCGATTCTTTATACATTTCGTAAGGTGCTGACAAGGAGAATTTGTGTACCAATCAAAAGCTTCTTTCGTTGGTGATCATTTCCTTTATTCTCATGACCCTAACGTCTGATTCAGGGTTGATATTGTAGGGAGAAATTTGATGCTAGTCACTCTAAGGGTTTAAAGGGTTAACTCTTCACACCTTAACATCAGTTTGTATATTCTCCATACTGTTCTCTTTACATCTTCCTAAGTGATGACTGGGAGAATTATTGTTTTATTCATTTTGTCTGTTTCTGTTTCCACAGGAGATGTAATTTTACTTGGAAAGACCAACATGTTGCGGTTTAACCATCCTCAGGAAGCTGCGAAATTGAGAAAAAAGCGATACGTGAGTAGTTTTGTTGTTTAAAAGTTTTCAAAAAAGGTGAAGTAGGAAATTATTTTTATCGTTTTCGTGATCTTTGCAGTACGAGTCGATGGAGAATTTAGCGGACCTTAGTTCAGAGCCAGAGAGAGAACCTTCTTACATGTTCTATAATGCCGGGTGAGTATCAGATGATCTATGGTTTGATATTTACAACACATGAATATTCTCGAACTGATTTAAAGACACCACTTTAAAGGCAACTACTTTCACGAGATTAAGAAAACTCGAGGAAAAAAAGGAGACCTCCCTTTTGCCCTCTCGTTAAAAAGTAAGAGTTACTTGGTAAATTCTTCCATCAGTGTTAATATCTCAAGTATGGACAGATTGAGTTATTCACGAGCTGCCTGATATCTGTGCCCCATAAGGTCTTGATTGTGATAGCGATTTTGCTCTTAACAACTCATTTTTTAAACAAAATTGTAGCTTGGAGCTTGAGCGTCAGTATCGGGAAGAAACTCGGAGAATTGAGGAACAAAGGTAAATAGAGAGCCATGAAATGTTATTTTCGATTTTTAGTTGCTTGGGTTGCTAGAGAATCGTTCTAACTTTTTATTTTATTTTATTCTATTTTTCTCCCATTACACAGACGATGTCTTGAAACTCAACAGAGAGAGGCTGCTGACAAACTAGAGGAAGCAAGGTTTGGTGACATAATTTTACATCTTTGTATCACTCTCGGTTTAACGCATGAGGAGAAGTGGGAGTGGTTTAATTCTGGTCCAGTAGCCATGTCGTTATGTACTCTCATGTCATTGGAAGCGTCAGAATGACTTCGTTATGTAATACGCGTTGCATCTAACTGGAATAATCCGATGATGTGGATTTTTAGAAACTCATTGTGGTACATTTGTTGAATTTGAACTTTTTTTTCTCAGACGTGAACTGGAGTTCCTCCGTTCTCAGCAACAGAGAGCTTCTGAAGTTCGAAGTGCAGAGGAGGTGGAACGAAGAAAGGAACTAGAAGCGAGTCACCAACAGTTAGAACTACAGAAGAAATATCTGGAGGAGATACGAGAAGAACAAGAGCTGGCGCGAAAACGAGCCGAAGATGAAATAAGACAGGTATTTTGAATGAAAATACTGTAGGGTAATTTTCAACAGTGTCGAAAATAATCTGGAATTGCGCTAGGCAATTTGGTTTTATCAACTAAGTTGATAATATAAATTGGCCACCGTAAAGAGTTATAAAGCTGACGTTTCAAGCGTTAAGCCCTTCGTCAGAGCGAAGGAATTGCTCTAGTTTTGCTTCACTTCGAGCTGTGTGGTCCCGAAAACTCGTCCCACCCTCTCAACCAATTAGTGGCAAAGAACTAGCTGGGACTTTGTAATTACGTTTTCCCTTGCATCAGTCAGTTTCTTCGTTTTTATTTTGAATTCTTATTTGCGCCTTGAGACATTTGTCTTTGTTCTGATCTCTCTGTTGCGCGACTGAACCAGGTGAAGGAAAGGATCCGTCAAGAACAAGAGGAAGAAAGGCAGCGGCTGGAGGCTGAGATGCAGCGCCTGGTGGCCCTTGAAGAAGATCACAGGAAGAAGGTTCATATCAAAGAGCAAGAGATGGGAAGAATCAAGGAGGACCTGGAGAAAAAGTGGGACCAAGAACGACGACAGGTAAACAGCGAGAACTGATACGAAGAGTGAAAAGAAAGAAAAAAAAGTCAGAGATTTGTAAATTGTGCAATAGTGTGCGGGTATGACAAATAACATTATTTTATAACAAGGAAATATCAAGGGGATGTAACTTTTGGTTAAATTGCGGTGGGAATGTGGTGAAGAGATTTTCCGATGATAGTAGTAGGCTGGGAACGCCTTTGAAAAGAACTAATATGACTGACCGGTAAAAGAGAAAGCGGCATTTTTTCAAGTTGGACGTGAAAGCCTTATCTTTTATTGGCCAATAATTAGCAAGTTGTCTTAGATTCATTAAGTAATCTTATGAAACTAGAATTTTGAAAGATCTTTTCCAGACAGATATGTACTTTTTTCCTCATTCATCTGCTGAAAAAATATAATTTTTATTTACTTTAATGTAAATTTTGTTGTTAGGTTGAAATGCAGAGGGAAGAGGTGGCAAAACTTCAGCAGGAAATTGAAGCTAAATCACAAGAACTGGAAGCAGCTGAGCGGGAAGCAAGGGCTGCTGCACAGCGTAACAGCATCGCATCTTTATCTGGAACTCTTAGTCCCTCTGCTAGCAGTGACGCCTTGCAAGGGTCAGCAGAAGGAAGCGAGGAAGCAGCTGAAGCAGCTGCCGAAACAAAAGCAGAAGCGGCTGCTGAAGCAGCTGCTCGGGCGGAGCCTGACGAAAAGTCACAACTTGAGGTACTTCGTGAACGACTTAGGCAGCTGGAGGTTGATTACGAGGAGCAGCGGAAGGAAGCACAGAGAGAGGTGGCACAGGCTAAAGATTCTGTCAGGCGAGTGGAGCAGGAAACGTTGGAGGGACTCCGCAGCCTCACTACTGGAAAGTCAGCCATTGAAGGGGAGTGGCGGCGGCTGGAAGAGGTTCAGGCCAAGCACAAGAGGGCACAGGAACAGTCTTACGCCAAGATTAGGGACGTACGGGAGATGCTGGAGAACGCGGAAGAGGTGGAAGAAGCTTCTCTCATAGAAAAGGAGAAGATGATCATGGAGAGAAGAGCGGCGAGGATGAAAGTTGAGGAGGCAAGACGGAGGTTGGAAGAGTTAGAAAACGAAGATAAGGAAAGTGAGTTGACTGAAGCAGATTTTACCAAAAAGAAAGAACTTCTAGAATTCGAAACACGGGAAGAAATAAAAGATATCAGGGAGGAACGGAAGATCATCAACGAACTGCTGAATAAACATCAAACAGCGCTGCAGAAAGCAACGCTAATGGTGACGGAGACCAAGACTAAGCTTGAAAAACACCTGGAGAGCGAGAAGTTGATCCTGATGCCACTGCGAGAGAAGGTTGAGAGCTTGGTAAGGAATGAACTCGGACCTCTGATCGAATACGAACAGGAGATAGAGAAAAGGTGTGAAGACGTCGATCGCGAGGGTCGAGAACGCAAGAAGCTCATTTACAAGCAAAGGAGGCGGATTGCGTTGCTGGAACGACAGCACAGCCAAGCGCTGCAGCAGGCAGAGAAGGAGACTTTGAACGAAGAAGAGCTGGAGGAGTTGGAGAACGAGAGAGAAGCTGAAAGGAGTTTGATCAGGAAAGAGAAAGTGCGATTGCTTGAGCTCGAGAAGAAGCACAAAGAGCAGCAGGAGGTAGCAGAGCTGACGATTGGAGAAGCTGTACAGGAACTGGAGAAACGGAAGGGTACCGTCAACCAGCTGCTGGAGACCGAGAGGCGGAAACTCGCAGACCTGGAGGCTGTGCATAAGGAGACGCTGGAGCACGTGGAACAAGAATTAGAGCAGCGCTCAGAGATCCTGCACCGAGTTAAGGATAAAGTACAGAAGGATAAACGGCAGCTGGCGAAGCTTGATGTGAGGCAACAACGCTGCGCAGCGAAAGCTGCTGAGGAGTTGTTTCTCATGGCGGACTTGTTGGAAAAGGAAATGAGTGATAAAGGAAAAACAGACGAGCTGTTAAGGATCAAAGAACAGAGGAAAAAACTGCAGGAACTTGACAAACAATTGAGAATGGCGGAGAAGAGGGAAAGAACGTCGCGGGATGATCAAGAAAATCAACAATGCACTCTGCTATAGACATTCCCAACTTTCTCTAAACGTACCTGTGATTTGATATTCGGGGATATTCCAATCTTGTAGCAAAAAGGTATTTCTGTTAGTTGTTATAGAAAGAGTTATTTTGAAGTAAGTAGGAATCGCAATATATCTAAAATAGATTGTCTCCCCGGGAACAGGGAACCTACTGAGTTTAGTTTCCCTTTAGTTTCGTGCGTTGAAGCGATCTTTTATTCTCCCTTACATATTTATAGCTAATGATATTTCGCTTTTGTGTGATGATATTAGAATGTCAAACGAAAGAAAAGGCTTCAACTAATGTTTTTGCAATTATCTTTATTATTCGAAATTAAAAATCTATTCAAGAACTTGTTTTGATATATTTACCTTTCAGTTTAATCGGTATTTTTTTTTGAGATGTTATGTCAAATGTCGTTGAAGTGACTCCGTAACTGTAGTTCTCGACAAGGTTATTTAAGTATCTTTGAAATAATCTGCAATTGTAAATATTTGAGCCAGTGAAAAGTGAAAGTTGTAAATTAATGAAAGGTAGATTTATTTCGTTAACAATTAGAAGGTGCTAAGGTGAAATCTACTAGACTATTATAGATTAAATTGGTTAATGAAACTAAAGCTTTTCGTGGCAAACATTATTTAATCTAAAGTTAACTTAAATGTCCTTAATCCAAACAAGATTTTATTTATTTCGATGAAATAATTTAAGATTTAGTTTTCCCTTTTTTCAAATTTTCGCGGCGATCAAGGCTGACAATAAATTGTACAAAGTATAAATTTCCCTGTTTATAAGGTATCAATGGTGGAATGGAGATGTAAAAAAAAATAAGTGTTGGGATGCAGAACAAAACAGCGACATCTCCGAGGGTATATCCCAGGGATTTGATATCCCTGGGGTTTGGAACGGTTAAGATCCAGAGAAGAAAAATTTCTTAGATTGTGTCCGCTGAAATGTTGATTGTTTGCAGAATTGCAGGATAATGTGCTCTTGGTAATTAAAAAGTCCAAACAATAAAATGTAATGGGATGAAATTTGTGTCTTTTTTTTCTTCTTTACGGTCAGTTTCGTTTAGAAATTGTTCCTTGGTCAGTAACACGTCGCAGACGGGCGGGGAAAGCATTTCGACTCGCGTGTAAGTAAGTCCATCCTCGCGAGATGCAGTGGCATCTTAACCCTTTAACTCCCGGTAGTGATTAACCTGTAACTTCTCCATAAAATATCCATACATCATCCAGCAAACAAGTGACGAGAATAATCAAACTTATCAGGTAATTGTTATTTTGATTTAACGCTAAATTCTCGTTACTAATTTACATGGAAACAGCGCTACAAATAACAAAAGAAGTTTTGTTTAATACTTGATGTGAGAAGTTGAGCCGGAACAATAGACCATTTCTTGCTACGAATCAAGTTCGGGGTTATCCTCCCAGCTTCTCAGTGTGGGTGGGAAATGGATCGTGAGAGTAACAGCAACACGTCACTTTCGCGACAATTAGTAATGGTTTCTCACCGATTTTCAGCGAATTTCACGGTTTCTTTTAACGAATTCGTAAATCAACTTTTCCAAAACAACTGCATACAGCGTCGAGGAAAGTTGAAACATTTGATAAATACACAGGACTATATTATTTGACCACCACATTCGACGTCCTCGTATCATTAATGACAAGTATTCCAAACTGTTGTTTTTCTTACTATTAACATGGGATGAATGTGGTGTGAAAATCTGTGGTTACAACTGTCACGTCCCCACTCGGGCTACAGATCGGAAATGAAAGCTACCTCGATTCCGAACTAAACCGTGCTCTTTTGAGTCAAGGTTTTATGGCACTCCGCCAACGCATTCTTTTATGAGAGAAAGTTTCAATTTTGACGTTTCAGTTTATGCGCAAACCAGCCAACTGGCATATGACTCAATATTAATCCATCTTTTCTCATTACTTCACCTCTTGAGCGGTAAATAAACCCACTGAAACTGGAGCTCTTCGACCCTACGAAAAGTTTAGCGTGTATACAGATCACTTGATCATATAATCCTTTGATATCCATATCAAAAGAACGCCCCGACGGATTGAAAAACTCGTCGGAAAAATACAGTTGGTAACCTGCGCGGTGGAAAGGCTCAAACCAGGCCTTGTTTGGTTCATCGGTGGCCACGTACAGGGCAGCGGAGATCTTGAGGAAGTGTTTTTGTGCCATGCTGTTCAACCAGTGAGATGGCGCCATGCTAGCGCTTATTTTGTGGTCGGTTCTTCTCACATGTATGGCGTTAAAAGGTTGAGGAAGAATCGATAAAATCTGAAATGCTTTTTGATAGATCTGTGGTGAAAATTTGATGTTATTAAGAATCCACTGCAGCGCTTGTTTTGCGTCTTCTTTGTGGAACAATCGAACATTTGCCTTGTAGCTAGTGTCTTGAGACAAATAGATGATATCGGCACGTTCGTTTTTAAGCTCGCTTAAAATCTGTCGTATTACGGGCTTGCTTGCGTTCATATATCTTTCGATCTCTCTCGGGCACGCTCGAATACTCCTCGAACTATTGTTCGGGACAAATTCGATCTCCCGGGTCGAACTCACGTTTTCCGACGGAATAGCATCCACCCAAAATCCCAAAGCATCAGAATGACAGACATGATGCCATTTGAAATTCGCAAATTCTTCCAAGAACTTTTTGTGGTTTGTCTTCACTTCATGAACATCCAAAACTCTACGCATAAGTTGGAGATCGAGAACCTCAGAGATGGGTACCAGATCTCGCTCAGCCATAAGATTATACACCCAGTTTATTCCCCATCTTTTTTCTAAATTTCTCCAAAACACGAGATTTTTCCGTCTCGAGAAAATCGCCATATCGTGCGATGCCAATGGGTGCACAATCAATGTTCTATTGAGCAACTTAGCCATGATAAGTGCATTTTCGAGGGCAATACGGTGATTATTCCACCCGCCATCCGGCGGTTGGTAAGTCAAGTATAAACGCCGAGGAGTCTGAACATGGACTTTTGACACCTCGTTATGCGAATGTTTGTTGTTTTCTCGTATTCCGCGCCTGTGTGAAAGGTTCGATTCAACAGCACTCCTTGTTTGGACAGTTTTCATTGTGTATCGCAGCGGGTATTCCAGTGATAAAAAATAATACTGTGCTGCGACGACAAGCAAAGCTGTTAGGAGATGGAAGAAGACAATTAGATAGAACAAACGGCTCATCTGAAGCGTGTAAAAATCCTCAAGAGGAGAGTGGGGTTCATGCACAGCTGCAGATGAAGTTTGAAATCTTTGTTTTGTTTCTCCATGATTTATCAGATTCCGTACTGATTTCCATGTGAAATTGGATCGGGTATACGATGACGACATATTTGAGATAATTTTCTGTTTTATTTTCTCCACAATACAAACAGGTGGCAGTAGTGTGCAAAACTGTTCACCAGACTAAACTAAACCACAGGATTCATTGAATATCTTATTTGTTGATAGTTTCAAAGTGTCTGTGCATGAGAATGGTTTTCTTTGACAACATTGGAGTAGGTGTCTACAGACAGACGACAAAAGGACTTGGGGCGCTTTCAAAACTTGTAAGAGTGACAGGTGTCTGTTTAGGTATTAACAGGTTTCCGTGTTGCTTTCCCAAGAAACATAACCACTTATCAACGAGTCTCCATTCTCGAAGTGAGTGTGAAAGAATGCTCAATCGTGTGTATGAATTATAGAAACGTCTTCCTGTTTTGTAAAGAAATAATTCCAACATCACAAAAATAATTTTCATTCAATAACTGCGAATCGTCTCCCCTGTCGGTTCGACCTTTGCTGTTCTAATCTTGACATCACATTATGTTCTATGCTGATTTTGATGAACCAAATTAGACTCATCTCAGATTTTGAGACGCTTTGCATTTTCCTGAAAAGCAGTTCCTCATTGTGTCCAGTTGTCGACAGAATTTTGCAAGGATTTGGCTTTAATATCTCGCATTAGAATTTTTTTACCACGGTCATAACTTGAGAGTGATTTGTGAACTTTTCATCTTTTTTTTTAGCATTCACAAAATGGAAAAACACCTCGCGGAACAGGTCTCGTCTTGAATTTCATGATGACTAAACCTTTAGGACGTCAAACGGTGTTCTTTCCAAACACCGGGAAAAATCTCGTGAGATAATCAACTTTAAAAGCATTCGCAACTGCATTTACAAAAATGCATTGAAAGCTAGAGCTCTCTAAGCCCCGCCCAACAGGATTTAGAACAAATGAAATAATCCCAGTGAATTACCTCCATATTGGACTCATTTCATCATTAATTGTTTTATCTGGAACTTCACCAAAGCGGTTTTTTCCCTCCGGAAAAATTAAGCGTTTTTGAGTGAATAGACCACTGTTTATTTTAGTGGTTTTCTTCTTAGGTAAGAAAAATCACTGAACGAAGGCGCAAAGCGAGCAGAAATCGCAAGTTTAATTTGCAAACGTTTACCTGTATGGTAGCAATTCCTTTTTTTTTCCTTTTTAAATGAGTTTATTTTGAAAAGCTTTGTAGAGAAATCTGTCTCCTGTGAAATCATTGTGGATATGTTACAAGCAATCCCAGAAATTCTGCCCCCAGCGTATGAATTATTGGAAAACTGACAAAAAAATCGTGACAGCCGAATGCGAAATACCTACCGCTAACTCATGCACACTGAACACGGCGCCTTAAATCTTGACGGCAGTCCCGGAAATGAAAAGAATAAAACGCCCCTGCCAATTCATGTAGCGCCCATGTAAATGAAACAAAAACCAAGCAGAAATTCCTTTCAAGAAAATCGAGAATTGTCAAAATGCACGTTATCCCAAAATTTATACACCTAAAATGTTCTTGTAAACAACATTGAAATGATTTTACCTTGCAAGAAAGATGTTAATTTTTATTGATTTGAAAACACGAAGTTCATACAAAGTTCATCAGCGTTATTGAAGTATAAAATTATAGCTTCGAGACCCGTAAGATCGATTTTGTGCGACAAGTTTCTGTTTATTTGTCTGAAATATAAATTTTAACGGGCTCCAAGATAGACCAGGTACAACTGTTGTAAAGACTTAAATTCTGTTAATTGGAAGTCAATTTGATTTTCATTAATCGAAATTTAAGCGAACAAACATTCCACCATTTGAAATCAGTGTCTGCTTACTAACTTAGGTTTTTATTACTGACAAATTTATTAGGCAGAAAAGCGTCTGGAGAATCTGGAGAAGAGCGTTTGGAATAGAAAAACTTTGAAGGAGAGAACCCTTACGATTTCATTTAAAAAAGTACATATGTAGGACATGCAATTTTCATAGGTCAAGCATTTTTATTGCCCGGCTTATGAGCAGCACACCTGTGTTGCATTCAAAAGATGTCGCCATGAAGACTAACTTCATTTAACCGCAATCATTAGAGGGTTGAAATCAGGATAATTAGTTTACAATAGGATAATGCTTCGCTGCAATCTGTCGTCAAAAACTTTCAAATGAATTCGTGGCTCCGCTCAAGTCAACGTTTCCAATTTCCAGCGACGCTTTCTCAGTGTATCTGTTTCAAGCCTCACTTACCAACTAGATGATTCTTTTTTGCGTGCAGATGTCGGAAATTGGGACGGCAAGGCTTCTATGTAGACGGGAAAATTATATTCCTATTGAACGTTCTAACCACACGATGACAAGCAGACAAACTGAGCCAGACACCCAGCCGTGAGCATGCATTTAGCAAACCGGCTCTTCGCTATAAAACAAGCAATAAGAATACATTTCTTTATTCGCAGATTACCTTCCATCGGAGGAAGCAAACACATACGTTACCTTGTAAGTAGAAATTTTATTGTTTGACTTTTCGAAAAGTTCCATCATTTTTATGTATTTCAGGTATCTACTTTTTGTTATGCCCATTACTACTTAAACGTGCTAATCCACTGCTTGAAAAGATACCCGTTTCCTTTTTTTGAGAAAACGTACGCTATATGTTGGAGCTTTCAACTTACGAGAAAAATAATGTAGGAAGCTAACTTTCCTGTAGCATTTAACTCG